TCATTGGTTAATAAGGTAGCAGCTAACCCTATAAAAGGGTTACTGCTACCCATAGCTTTGCTCTGTTCCATTCTGATTCCTGTTATTATTAAAGAGTTGAAGTCACTGGTCAGATGTCTGGTCTCCTTATTCTCCAAACTTAACACATGCAGTGGTCAGAGTGTCCCACAGCTGCTCGTGGTAAAGACCTATAAGCATCTTTTACTGTTGTGTAGCAGTGGTCTAAAGTACTTTTGCCTCTGGTTGGACAATTGACATGCTGGAAATATTTTGGGAGCTCTTTCCTTAAATTTCCTTGATTGGAATCTCCTAAAATGATGGGAAGGGAACCTGGATGTTTGGCTTCAGCCTCCATAATCTGATCAGCAAGAGTTTGTAATGCCTTGTTTACACAGGCTTGTGGAGGAACATACACAGCTATTAGGAGAAATGAGGAGAACTCATGGAGAATAAAATGGTTTGCAGTTGATATGTAAAGACTCTAAGTTTTCATCACAGAATTTATATATTATAGTTATATCCTGAGACCAACTGCTGTTGATATATAAACATAATCCTCCACCCTTTGTTTTACCTGATGTCTCTTCAATTCTGTCTGATCTAAATGTCTGAAATCTTGGGATGTATATGGTGTTGTCCCCATGAATTTGTGGATTAAGCCAGGTTTCAGTAAAACAAAGAACTGCAGAATTATAGAAATCAGAATTCCATCTATTTAAGAGATGAATTTCATCCATCTTGTTAGCAAGTGAGCATAAATTAGTCAGAAAGATTGAAGGGAGAATTTCCCCTATTCTTTAGTCTGTTAAAAATTCCCACTCGTTTACCTCGTCTCCTTTTTTGGCATTGTCACTTTCCTCCTTTCTTTGTTGTAATCTATAGCACCAGGGAAATTAGTTAGAATCTCCTCTGTGTTTGCAAAGACAGGTGGGGGTGAGGAATCAGAAAGCTGTTCCTTAAGGAAACATTGCCTAATTCTTAGCAGATGGTCTCGTGAGTATGAAATCTGTAGTGAATTGCAGGTAATAATAAAGGATAAAGAAACCATTAGAGAGCATTTCACTGAGGCAGCCATCGACAGTGCCATCTTGGCTCAAAAAAATTGCAAATACAATCTAGATTTAATAAAGATATTAAAACTGGAGGTATCTATGATAAGTTGATTGATTTAGATAAAATTTTGATGGGTACTGATGAAAAGGTAATTTAAAAACTTTATGGACATTTGCTGGAGTTTAAATTAGAGGAAGAACAAGTTACAGAAATGATTATTGCTTGGGGGAAAATTTTTGGATATGGGATTGACTTAGATAAATGGCAAAAATTGTGGTCTCAAAATTATAAAATGACAATGTCAACTGCATATAAAGAAAATTTGTATAAGATGTTTTACAGGTGACACTTACCCCCGACGAGAATTGTGAGAATGTTCAGGAATAAATCGGATAAATGTTGGAAATGTCATCAGATACCTGGTTCATATTACCATATGTGGTGGACATGCTCGGATGCAAAAAGATACTGGACTATAATCCACACATGGTTGGAAAAAATGTTAAAACAACACACAGACTTTAAATTTTAAACTTACCTCTTGAGCCTCATATTTTCCTACCTCTTCATACCATCTTTTCTTTCCTTACATCATATTGTTTCCAAAAGTTGTTTATTCAAACTAAGAAAGGAAGACTGCAGTTGAAATTCAACATACACATTAGTTGAACATATTCTTTGTAGATTTTATGAATGAAACTCTTCTCTGGAAATATTAACTAGCTCAGTTTCAAGTCAAGGGTTCCAGAGACAAATGCCCAAAGCTAAATAATCTTTATTAACAAGTATTAGTAGCTGGGGACACAAAGGAGCAGAAGCTGGTTGACTCTTGTTGGATTGTTTTTTCATAATATAATATATAAAATATATCTTAAGCCTGGGATTGCCTTCTGCAATGAGTATCTCAAACTAAAAAAAACCTTGTAAATTAACAGCTCAATGATCACCATAAAATGAGTGTTGTCTTATCTGAACGCTTCTTCTCAGCACGGTGATGGAGAATCCATGGATGGGTTGACACATGCCTTTCTGCCTGGAGACTGAGTTCTTAGGTGCAATTGGGCCCATGGAACAATGGATATACACGAGACCATCTTTCCCAGGAGCTGAGATAGAACTGCCAATGGAACAAAGCGTTCTGTCCTGATTTGACTGACTAAGGACTTGATACTGTTCTGTCACTCCTTGCACATTCTGATGTCTATCGCTGCTCCTAAATGGAGCAGTTGAGTGGTAGGTATCAGATGACTTTTCTGAATATTTCTGGAGAATCCGTGTTCCTGGAGAACATGGATTGTCATCTCCAGATCCTCCTGAGTAAGCTGGGGCGAGGACGATTGAATGAGAATATCATCCAGGTAGCATTGGAGGTGCACTGGGATGGTTCTGAGGTGCTCCGCCAGTGCTGCCAGGATCTTTGTGAAGAACCTGGGGGCTGAGGCTAGACCGAACAGTAGAGCTCTGTACTGGAAATGATGATCCAGGTAACAGAATCTGAGGTACCTTTGGTGCTGGGGATGGATGGAGATGTGGAGGTAAGTCTCCATCAAATCGATAGATGACAGGTCGCTCTCCCTGATGCTGTCCAAGATTGACTGCAGAGAGTGCATTTTGAACCTCTTGTATAACAAATGTACGTCAAATGGACTTTTAAGATCCAGAATTGGTCTCCACCCCCCGAGGACTTCGGAACGAGGAACACAATCAAATAAAAACTGTGCCCCCATTGATCTTCTGGGACTGTCTCTATGGCCTGAATGTCCAGAAGATGTTGTATTGCCTTGTCCATGAGATCCCTCTTGGCGGATTTCCTGGAGATGGGGCAATGGATAAAGTGCCTCGGAGGAATAGAGAGAAATTCCAGGGTTAAACCGAATATTAGAGTGTTCATAACCCACAAGACTGAAGTCCCACTGATGGGCCCGCAAATAGGGGGTGAGCTCTGGCAGTCACTTGAAGTGGCGAAAGGGACACCCCCCCTCCACCATGAAAGGGACCCCCCCACGAAAGGTCTGAGGTTGGCTTGGTCTGAGGTTGCTGTTGCTGTCTGTACCTATCCCTAAAGGTAGATCTGTCCTGGCAGTCAGATCTGGGAGGGTATGGATGTTGGAAGGAGGAATGGTCGATAACATGGAAGGCTAATGTCCATAAGGTGAAGCCTGCCTATAAGCCCTCCTAGTGACAGAGGACAAGACTTTATGCTTGTCCTTGTTTTCCGTTAGGAATGGATTCAAGGCATCTCCAAAAAGAGAGGACCCCTTATAGGGAGCAGAAGCCAACCTCCATTTGGTCTTGGCATCAGCTTGTCATTGGCAAAGCCATAACAGTCTGCGGGAGGTGTTGTTAGAGATGAGAGCCCTAGAGGAGAAACAGGCAGCATGTAACAAGGAGTCGGCCGAAAACTCGGCTGCTGCCACCAATTTATTAATGTCTTGGTGAATGCGTGTCTCCTTTGGGGGAACCCTCACCTGTAACTCCTTTAGCCAAAATAAGGAGGTTCTAACAAAAAAGGAGGTGGAAGTGGCCACCTTAACAGCCCAGGCATTAGCTAAGTGTGTCCAGTGGAAATTTAATTCCGCCTTCCTGTCCTCAGCCTTCATGGCCTCAGCAATGTCTCCAGAGACAGCTGAAGGAGAAACAAGGAAGGCTAGGGCATCATCCACTGAAGGCAGCTCCAAAAGGTCTGAGGAGGAAGGAGCCATATTGAAATGCCTCCTATCATTCCCTGCTAGCTTGGGGAATGTGCCAGGCTGGGTTCCACTGCCTCTGAACGACGTCACTAAAAAGTTTGGGGTAGGGTATGTTTTCCTACGTGATAACAGGCTGAGAAAACACAGCCTTGTCTAATACTTGAGGACCCAAGGGTTCCACAGGTGAGGGCAAATTCATCCCAATCTGAGCTGTAGTTCTGGTCTTATGAAGGAGGGACCTAAACAGAGCTGGATGAAAAAGTCCAGTAAAGAAGGGGATCTGGGGCCAGTTCAAGCTCATTATCTGAGAAGCCCTCTTCTATCTGGTCAGGTTCCTCTAATACAGATGCCCTGCTTCTGAGGGAATGGGCCAGAGATGTGGATCCATATAGTATATGTGGGATACATATAGTGATGGGGAAGTTGTGCAGGGGGCTCAGAAGTAACAGAATCAGAACAGCTTCTAAGATGCAATGTATTAGTTACTCCCTGGGAAATCGCCTGAGGAAATGAGGAATTTAAGTTCCTCAGATAAACCAGGCCCCGGATTATCTACAAGGTGGAGCCCAGCAGCAGTGGGCGTGAAGGTTGCCTAGGAGATAAAGGCCCTATCCCTACCTGAGGTTCTATCCCTGTTGCTAGGCAGTTAAAGGGAAACTGCTCTGCAGCCTCCAGATTGTCAGTTGGAAACCCAGAAAACTGTTCCCTATTGCCCTCTGGAAACCAGTTCAAAGGAACTGCAACACTAGCCTGAAATGCTGGGTGGGGGTGGGTGGAGCAACAGTTTATGTTAAGACAGGAGATGGAATACTTTCCTGTTGAGCCTGCTTTTCTACTCAGGCAATCTGCCTCTCCAGAGCCTTCATTCTCCTGTCAGCATCTTTTTCTTCAGCTCTAGATGGTCTCCTAGAGTAAATAGCCTTGGCTCTGATCTTATCAGCTGCATCCTGACTGGCTGATCTGCTTCTCCTGGAGTTGGTCTTCCTGCTAGGAGCAGCTGAAGAATCCTCTTGCCCTGCCATACTGTTAGCAGTCAGAAATTGATCAGCCATCTTGGTAGCTTTCTTAGCCTAAAAAAGGAGTTGCTGTTCTGCCTGCAACCAGAAAAAAGGGCTGTTGCTGTTTAAATGGTAGTGCTGCTTTTTTTAAAAAAAAAATAGGGCTAAGTCACAAAGGGCACAGTGGTGGCAAGCAAGCACATACTCCTGTAGCCACGCTTCTCTCCAAACTCAATAAGGCAGGGTAGAGGCTGAGCAGAGTGACTTTAAACAGCCAAGAGTCCCCAAACAGGCTTGTCAATCAAGCCAACAACTTAAAACAAGCAGCTTCGAAGAACTGCTAAAATGCCCAATCAAAAGTAAAAGTGCCCGAAAAACAGCTGAGAAGCGGCTGTGGTGTTTGAAAAAGGCAGTGCCTGGGTTCACGGTACCTCAGGGAAATGGCGGCTATCCTCGCATGGGAAAAAAATTCCTTTTGGTTGAAGCGAGGCTAGCAGCAAGCTGTGGCTACAGGGAAGACGACAAACCAAGGAAAAAGAAGAAAAGAGCCTCCATAGTGCTTTGAAGCATTACAAAGCAAACCTGACAGCACAAGAAGTCAATTTTGCCTAAGCAGCATTTCTATCTGGAGAACTACAAGCCAATCTTTTGCCACAACCTCTTAGGGCAAGACTGAGTCGTGAACTGGGGAAAGGACAGTTGACAAGGGGTATGGCAAAGATTATGGACTCAGTCTCTGGGCAGAAAGGCATGTGTCAACCCATCTGTGGATTCTCCAATCGTTGTGCTGGAGAACAACAGTAGATAAAGGAGAAAAATAGAATGAACCCCTATAAGATTGATCATATATATATTCCCTGCCAAACTCAAGACTTCTTACTGTTCAATTATTGCCTAAGTACTGTATTTGGGAAGTTGTACACTGTCTAGAATTGTTTTTTTGTGAGCAGGTGGCTGTACAAATTTGATAAATAAATATTTAAGTCCAATATTTAATATGAAGAATAATTATTTTCAGCATTCAGTCATAAAGAAGTAGATTTGATCCTGGGCCTGTTACCAATATTTCCATGAATTTCTTGGTTTTGGGATACAGACTGTTAATCTCAATAGGAAGTCCCTTCCATCTCTACAATTATGTGATTCTATATAAAACAGATGATATGGTTTAGGGACCCTTCCAATATTACCTAACAATGTGGACCCTAGAGCAATATGTATCTTTGTTATCCCTCCCTCATAATGTCAGATGTATTTATTTAGTATATGTGATATTACAATTAGCAAGGAGACTACAATGTTAGTACATAATAGTTTTTTGGCTGCTGAAGGGTCCTAGTCCATTTAGTTCATGTTGACTCACATATCCATGGTGCACCACAGGGACTGAACTAACTCCACTCCAGAAAGACATATGGCATCCTGTGGCATCATCTGGGGCCTTCTCTCACCACTGACATTGCCTCATAGTCATGCATCACATTTGGACAGGTCCAGCACCAGCAGAGGCTGATCATCCATGTGAAATGCCACCATGTTTCCCACTAAATTGATACCTATTTATCTACTCACAGGTAGTGTGCTTTTGAACTGATAAATGGGCAGAAGCTGAGGCAACTGATGGGAGCTCACTATGCCACATGATTCTGGTTTAGTTTAGTTTAGTTTATTGTCATTGCACCTCGTACAACGAAATCAAACACCATCTTCAGTGCACATCATGACCATGACCATGAAAATAAACACAAACACACATCCTCCACACATTGAACCAAAAACCCCTGACATCCAAACACACATCCTCCACACATTGAACCAAAAACCCCTGACACTGCACCAACACTGCATTATACAGCAGAATTCAAAAGAGCTACTGTCCTGGGATAGAAGCTGTTTTTCAGCCTATTTGTCCTTGTTTTTATTATTCTGTACCA